ACTTATGTGCAGTTTAATATCGTATTATTACATAGAAATTCTGCCCTATACAAGTGAAAACATAAGTGTTGGCTCGATCAATAGGTGGTACTAAGTGTGTAGTAATTATAGCGTTAAATAAACTTGTAATTACGATTTGTAATATTTAGTGTGTTCCTCAATTTACATACGACTGTTGTGGAACGTGAATGATGACATTCCTAGATGATAAACCTAGATATATCGGTATCTCTATACACAAATATTTTAATTAATATTAAATTTATTAATTATTATATATGATGCTTGTTCCTATATATATTAGATGTAAAAGACTCGATAATTACTGCAGTCATGACTAAAAGGAATTTACTATTTTCTCTTGTCTATTATTTAATAAATAGTAAGTTAATGCAAATGATAAATATTCGACACAAAATTATTTTTACATTAAATTTATTAATACTAAGGGAAAATACATTTCTTTCAATTGCTTGTTTCTGATTAATTTTTTAATAGATGTACAGAAAATTATATCACGAAAGTACATGTACACTTTAATATAGAAGATATTAAAACTTTGTCACATATTTGTTCTCAAATATTTATTATGATCTTTCTTTTCAAATATTTAAAACTGAGAAATGCACTCGTGAATGTTTTGATATGCTAACTGCACCAATTGTAGACATATGTATCGTATTTAAATATTTGTATAATGGGTATGCTGTATAGGAACGATATTTTACTTTAGATTTGTAGATAACGAAAAAAAAAATTTTAATAAATAAAATCTTTGAAATTGACGTTTTTATTTGTTTATTCTCTTATTTTTTATTGTGACATTTTTCTTTAATATTTCATCTATTTTTTAAATTTAAATTTTTGAATTCATGTAATTGCGGTGTAAAATTGGCAAAGTCAAATTGCTGTCAAATTGCTGTAAAATTGGCAAAAGTGATGTCAGTTACCGATAATCGTGAAATTACAAGCAATTATCGATATACACTGTATTATCAGCATTACACTATATAATTTTATTTAAGCACTAGATGTCTCTGCGTATACTATTATTCTTTCTCTCTCTACACATAATATTCAAAAAATTAATAAAAATTTTTGTTATATTTTTGGCTCTAGATATATGTATATGTATATCTACATAATGATCAATCGAATACATTAAGGACAAATTTTTACAATTTGTATATGATAAAATAAGTGCAAAAAGTAATTAAATCGCAGTAACAAAATTCATTTATATACCAACGAAAACAATTTTACATGTTTAATTATATGTCAGAAGAGTTGATCTCAATTTAGTTTTACAAATGTGAAATCAGCAAACTTCTGTGACACTGATCGTTTTGTTTTTCACCTTTCATTATTGCGAAAATGCAGTTTCGGCAATCTTATTAATTCTGTCAATATTAATTATTCACATCATGCAAACAGTGTTGATCAAACAAATGGAAAATGATGCGAATCATTTTCGCACTCTGATTGGCACTATTGGTTTTATATCGGACAGAGATTAATTAAGAGAGATATATAATTGACATGATATGGGCGCATTTACTTAGTATTTTTACAGCAAAGAACAGGTTGGCGGGTTTTCTCTCTTGCGACAAAAAGTAAGGATATGCAAATTATTAATAGGACTCTCGAGTGGTTCACATAATCACGTGTATAAAAGTATGATATAAATCAGTAATTATCATAAATCGGGGTTCCTCGAAAGAGAAGAAACAATTTACCAGAGAAGAAACAATTTATTTTTAGAGAAGAAACACTTACGCTTTTTTCCATTTATAATTTTCGCCTTTTTCAACTGTGAGATTAATCTGTTTATTCGTAGTGTCAACTTTTTGCAGCATGATAAAGCTTCAATTCCGAAGATTTTTCTTCATTTACTTGTATAGCAAAAATTGTTTTGTATCTTAAAACATCAGACATATTAATATTAAAATCATCTTTCATTTTTATCGTGTCATATTTTCAACGATCATTCTTTTCGAACGTTTAGAATTGTTTGTTTTTTTTACTTTTGAAAAATCGAGATATTAATAACTTTTGTGTTTTATCTTTATATTGCATACCTATTACATTACCTTTATATTGATTTTTCTCGGATGTGAATTGCAGGTTGGATAATAATATTTAAAATCGATCTCTTCAATTATCTTAAAAATACAGTTTCAATCACAGATAATTGGATAATTTCAGTGAGACACCGCGCGTGCTATATACATATATATTATGATGAACGTGTAATTGGTGTAGTATATTGCAAAAATTGTTTTGCATAAGATAGACACGTATAAAGATAGACATGCCTCAAAACATGCAGTAAACAAGATACCATATTACGTAAAATTGTATTCGCAGTAAAATTGTATTAGTGATTGTAATTTGCATTTTTGTTGGGTATTTTATCGTGATTCTTCTTTTACATTGTCTTGTTTGCCAATTTAAAATGTCGATCTCTGATACAAATTTTATATTCTTCGATTGCAATGAAAAGAATAGGATTTCAATGTCTTTCTCTCTTAATTCCGACGTTAATATTACAAAAATCTGTGAAATGAAATTATATGTGCTGATAAGTAACGACGGTTCACCGACAATGGCGAGGCGAATCGCTGAGAAGCACACGAGAGAGAAAGAGAGAGAGAGAGAGAGAGAGAGACCATGGCAATTTAAATAAATTAACGAAGCTTGAACGTATCCAGTACTTTCACCGAGTTAAAGAAAAGGAAGGAATACTCGAACAAATCCTCCATGCATCGCGTAATTACGATTAATGATTATTTTTATCAACGCTCGTAATTTTTGTTTTCCATTAATAGCTGGCCAGATGGTGTCAAATAGATGTTGGATATAATTTAAAATTAATTTTTATTTTAAATCAAAATGATGAAACTGAACATCCTTTTTTTACAGAATTGATTTATTTTAGAAATATAAAATTAATCGGTTTAAATTTAAACGTGAGTTATTTTGTTTGATTCTATCTCTCTTAAGATGATATTTAGAAGATTAATTAAAAATAAAGGAGAATCATATCAATTAAGTTAACGAAGATTGGAAACCATTTTATCGAAAAATATATATATACATATTGGTTCTAGGTCAGATAATTATTGCTCATTTAACTCTCTCTTGACTAAAATATATAGATATTCGTTTTTACATTGTGCAACATCGTACAACGCTTAATTTATTGCTCGAACTGCTAAATCGACGCAATCCTACGTGATCCGATCCGCGATACAATCTCTCGATATATACTTCGGTACCGTACGGAAGATCATGTAAGAAGGGAAACCAAGAAGAAGATACGATCATCTTGAAATTTTTCAAGCATGAAAGGGTGCCAAGAAACGTCACCGCTGCACTTCGAGACGATCAATGTGTTGCATCGCATTAGTCGCAACATTCCTCGGGTATTTTTTAGACGTGCGCAATCGGTTTATACATCGGTATGATGAGAAGGATAAGTCGTATAATTATCGATAACTTTACGTAACGTCAGACGAGTTCCTTTCAACTTTGTTGAATAGATCTATAAGAATCGTTGTGGAATCAACGTACAATAGAAACTGTTAGAGTTTTATTTTGTTAATATTGACATAAGAAAAATTAAAAATTCTACTATAATACTTAATATTTTAACGAGATATAACGAGTAATTATCTCTATTAGTGTACCTTTAAGCCAACTTTACTATTGAATTACTTTTACTACTGAATTAATTGTTAAATATTGTAGCTTTAATTTTGTCTGTTTAAAATTAATATTAGTTTTTCAACTTGATATTTCTCTTTTTCTTATAATATTTTTTAATTAAAAAAATGTTAATGTTTTATGTTTGTGATGAACACATATATATTATAAAAAAAATATTTTTGTCCCTATTAATATGCTCCTTTAAGGAACAATGGCTCTATTAATATGTCGTCCCAATTTGTGTTCGCATTTTGACTCTCTCTTCTTTAACATATAGATAATTATTAAAACAGATAATAGATATAAGCTAATTGTTTAAGTTAATATTATGTAAATCATTATTTTAATTATACTTACAATTTCAATATATGTATGTACTTTATAACACAACATTCTCAATTTCAATAAAGGGCATATTAATAGGGACAAGCTTAAAATCTTGCGGTATTATTGGACTCACATAGATTCCTCTAAATAGCGATATGTTATCTTTCGAAAAATATTTACTATATTTTAATTAAAAAATAGAATAGTATCTTTGGTATCGTAATTTTTATTAATTTTAACTAATAAAAAAGTATCTTTTCTTGTTTATTTGAGCTAATTTTATTTATGTACTCATTTAAATACTAGGCACTACACAATATGAACAAATACATAATATAGGAATGCCCTACATGTATTTTTCTTCAGTGTTACATATATATTTCTTTATAATTTACATATAGATTTTCCTTCTCAAATATTTTGAGTAATTATAATCTCGAAAGCATCGTTCTTTTTCAATATACTTATATAAATTAAATTTCGTAGCATCTGTTTGTAGCAATTTTAATGCTCGATACTTATCGATGAATCCGATTTCTCCTTAATTAGAATCGAGGCATCGATAATTTAATTTCTACGTAACTTCTCCCGGTAAGCAAGGTAAGCCGTTAGATTTTCCGATAGTTGAGATAAAGTAATTTACATCGCGCTACAAGAAGAAAGGGAGATTGGCGTCACGACAGTGGCAGTGGACTAAAAATCGGGTTAGTCACTTCCGTTGCGTCGGTATCTCTCCGCGCGCGCGCGCGCGCAAGAGAGAGAGAGAGAGAGAGAGACTATCGTCATTGCAATTTCACGCGTCACTTTTCAAGCTGATTGCTCTCTATCTCTCATTCTTGCGCGCGTGCAAACGCCATATACCTTCCCAATAATAAACCCGCCGATCGACGATAGTTTCGCAATTTGGTTCGCGCATGTACTCCTCGATTCTCTTTCCACACTGTATCGTAGAAAGTGTAGCAACGCCAACATGTGTGACTCACGCGGCGCCGCGGTGCGGGCGATCGCATCCGACGATGGAATTGCGCCCGCGCCGGCTGCAAGACCCATCATGGATTGCCGATTCCTACAGCGTGGGAATAAATCTGTATCGCAATTGCGATCCCATAATGTAAGCCTTAGGGAAATTCAGAAAGAATTGTGCAGTACACATAAATATCACGCATTGTCAGCGCTGTCAGAATTAATCAAGCTCAAGAGATTTTACGCGGACAGATTCTGCAGGTATATGTATTAGGTCATCTAAAAAGTATCCGCGGTTTTTTGTCACTAGATGATGTTGATGGTCAACGCATCTAGTGACAAAAAACCGCGGATACTTTTTAGATGACCGAATATATCGATATTTTAGCGATTGTCTTCACTTTTCCTTCTCTAAATCTTTTATCTTTAAAATTTAATTTTATTCATTTTATTAAATAGCGATTAACTGATGACACAGAGCTGTTATTAATTTTTTTGACATGAGTACACGTATATAAGTCAGAAAGAGTTCGTTAGTGTATTAGTGCGACAAATTTTTTAAGTAAATTTTATCAATTTCATTAAATAATGAAATCAGAAAAACTATTTGTTGTTAATATGTAAAAAAATACGAAATATAAATATTAATCAAGATTTGTTTAAGTAGTTTCAAGTAAATATTTACTAAATGTAAACATACATTTATGTTATACAAACATTATCAATTTGATTTAACTATAATTTTTTATTAAGTAAATATTTATTTACTGTAAACAAGTGTTTACTTACTACTATTCAAAGAAATACGTATTTAGATTTAATACATTTTTTTCAATATATTAATATGATAAACTTTTTCCAGTTTATATTCACAAAATCAATCATGTAACTTTTTCCCTCGAGCAGAAATGTAAAAATATTTTATATATGTATGTATATAAACAAAAAAATGTTTACTTTTCACGTTTCCATTGATATTGTACTCTGTATAAATAATGACTTTATACTAATTAATAGTTATTAAATAAAATTAATAAAATTAAATTTTAAAGATAGAAATTTTTAATATCGATCACATAAAATTATACTTACTTTACCAAGAGCCATTATACTGCTTTTTTTGCTATAATAAATGTATATTTCTTGGAAGAAACATAAAAAATTCTCTCTCTCTCTCTCTCTCTCTCTCTCTCTCGCACAATTGTAATTATCAAATAACCATTTTAAGAAAGATCTGTATCCGATCTGTAGCCGCCGTTTTCGAGACTAAATTAAACGGGCGCAAGAGAGAGTACTTATATGGACCGAGCGAAAGAAGGTGTCGAAGAGAGACGGCAATAAGAAGGAGTAATGCAGGAGCAAAAGGCAGAAAACACCGGTAGGCAGTTTTGTAGCTGTTTTTATCAGCTTCTGGGCATCGGGGGTCCAGAGGCCCAACCATGGCAGAACGCATCTTGGGGGGTTCGTGTGGGAACGTACGTCTCTTTAGCGTACCATCTCCTTCCTCTCTCCCTCTCTCCCTCCCTCTCTCCCTCCTCCGTTCTCTCGCTGTCTTCCCGTCCTTCTTCTCTTTCTCTTTGGCGAGCCCGCCTTTTTTCTCCATTTGGACCGGCTCGACGATTCGTTCCTCCCTCGCATCCACTTCCCCTCACTCCCTTCTCGCTCCTTTCGCGCTCCTTTCGCGCGCTCGTCCTCTTCATCGAGGCTAGCTGCCTTCGGGTACCACTTGGGTCATCAGGGTCACCCTCCGCGATGCACTCGCTACGTGGTATGCCCTATATTTACGCACGGTAAGAGCACCCTGAAGAGAAGGTGGACCCTCCACCTTCCTCTCTTCGCCAAGCACCACCGCTACGCTCTTCTTCTATCCTGTACATCGCGGCTCGGCTGCTTCTCAATAAACGCTGATCGCGTTAAGATCAGCTCACAACGCGACCGCGTGCGGGAGGAATGGATGATCCTTTCTGTTCCTTTCTATTCCCGTATTAGGATTGGCAAAATCATGATCTTTCGCATGCTCGTTCATCGCCGAGCGCCTTGATGCTGCTTTTTCATTTTTCTCATTCGTAGATATAGTTTTAAAAAATTGACAAAGATTGTGATCGTCCTTTTTAACGAGACGACGTTTTAAAATATCCTTAATACACTCGATTGGGTTATTTATGTTCTAGTACATTTTTTGAAGAACTTAGGCGTATCAAGTTATAACATTTTATATATATATTATACTATTTTTTAAAATATATTTTGTAAATATCTTTTAAAGATGTTAAAATATACGTAACAATCGTTTAATAATTTTTTTATTAAAATGAAAAAATAGATGAAAATTAACCTGGGACACAAATCATGATTGGACGTTTTCTTTCGAAAAGCGGTGCAAGTGATAAAGTGATAAAGCGCGAATAGGCGTGAAATTTACTCTTCTCGCTAAGCTGACGATCTTCATTATTTGCGTCAGCGAAGGTCCACGAACGGACGAGAGAAGAAGGTAAAAAAGAATTAAGAGGGGAAAAAAGTTAATTGGACGCTGCATCGAGCTCAGCTCGTAACACCGAAGCGTGCGTTTAATAAATCAACGGGATTATTAAAAATCACCGCGCGCGCTATTAATTCGGATTGTGATAAAGCACTGAAGCTAAGCGCGCGAGCGAATGTTCGCAGCTCGCGGCGGCAAACGCGGGCGCGTATTGTAAAGGGATTGCGACAGAACACCTCGCAAAGGTTACAATACGAGCCGCGGTGGCGTGTTGTAACCTTTTGCGAGAGCTGCATCGTATGTACTGCACGATAGATAATGGCCAGCACGATCGCTCCGATCGTAATTATCGTCACTTCTACCGATAGACAGAAACACTCGCAGCACGATCTCACGTATCTCCGCGGCAAAAGTCGCTGATCATCAAGTGTCACGTAGTCTCGAGACATGAAAATTTGGAAGCCGAACGAAGGAGTCTCGAAATAGGATGTTTAAAAAAAAATTTTTCATCGATATGGTCAGCGAATTGTCTTTCAAGTCTTTTTTTAAATATAAATTTAACGAAGTATAATGCGTTAATTAGAGCTAATTCTATCAATACGTAAGATTAACTTTAATCTCAGTTCAATTTACACACTCTTCATCTTTTTCTAATTCTTAGAATTTTATTAGAAAAAAATTTTATTAGAAAAAGATGAAGAGTAAATTAATTAACATTGATTTGGTGGAACCGAGTTTTAATCGATCGATTTTTAAAGGGCAAAATTCTTGAAAATATGGATAAACACGAGAGTGATATTAAATCAAGTGTAAAGATCTCATCTTTCAATTTAAATCTTTCGATTTAACATCTTTCAATTAAGGAATAATGAGCTCGATGCCACATAGAAAGAAATCTATAGAGTTCTAGTAAATTTTACGAAATTGATAGATTCATATAAGGGCAAGGGGTGTCTAATTATTCAAAATTTACTTTATTTTTCTGGTGTGTGTGTGTGTGTGTGTGTGTGTGTATGTGTTTGCTATTTAAAGATATAAAAAATTTATGGCTAAAATTTAGTGGCTTAAATTTTTTATATCTTTAAATAGCAATAACTCAGTAAAAAAATCATCGTAGCGAGTTGTTTAAAAAAGGATTTTAAAGCTTGAAATCTCTACTTTTCATGTTTGTGTAACTTCACATAATATCAGTATGACCGTTTTTTAAAGTACTGGTCTGAAAAGTAGAGATTTCAAGCTTCAAAATCCTTTTTTAAACGACTCGCTACGATGATTTTTTACTAAGTTATTGCTATTTGAAGATATTAAAAATTTGTGGCCCGTTTTTTTTGCCTGTATATATATATATATATATATATATATATATAGAGCAATAACTTAGCAAAAAATCATCGTAGCGAGTCATATATTTATATATATATAAATGAGCGATCATCGTGCAGTCATACTGTGAGTATAAGATACATTTCACATTTCGCAAAATAAATTTTGGAAGTTGTATTTATAATCTTAACTGAATACAGTACCATTTACTTTACTATAAGGTAATCATTATTTGAATGGATTTACTATTATTATAATGTACTTTTTATAATTGTAGTATACTTTTTACCTTACATCTTCGGTATTTTTATTTTTAGATAAGTAAAATTTGTCATAAATTCGGAAAAAATAGCCAGAGTATTTTTACTAGCCTCTAGTAAGGTAAAAATTACTCATTCTTCTCTATGCAATGATAAATCTACAGAGTAAATAAATATCGACATTTTTGAATATCAGGCGGAATTTTATGTTTAATAATAATAATTTTTTGGTGAGTTTTAATATTTGATCATCAATATGTGAATCAGTGATATTTATTGCAAAGCACAATTTTTTTATTATTTATGTATAAGTATTTGAGCAGAGAGAAACTGAATTATTTTCCAGTGTGCACGAACCTTAAGTATGCTCCAGAGACCTCATACGAGATACCACGGGGTGGTCGCAATACGCGAACGTTACGAAGATACAGGACGATGAAAAATATCTGGTATCTCGAGCCAAGATTCTTCGAACAATGGGATATCTTCGGGACCGAGTCGACCACGGTGGACAATTATTACCCCGATTGCCGGAAGATAATACTTCATCGGCGATAAAATAATGAAATAAAAATTTTCTGTCGATCGAATGAAAATACGCAAAAAAAAAAAAAATTCCTCGATAATGGCTTAACAGCAGTCTATTATTTCCATCTCCTGCATAAAACGAAAAATTAACTTGCTTGTATCGAAGAATTGACTTGCTATATAAATTAAATATAAATTTACTTAAACTTGGAAATACATGATATAACGTAATTGTATAATTTCCTTCTTTTTATTATTACTTTACAAATTACTACGAAATTACTCAAAACAGTCAAAATAATATTAATTTTAAAACGTTATCTATCGGTTTAATATTAGAAGGACCAAGTCAATTTGACTCCTCGTGAAATTCAAAAAACTATAACTTTGCTTCCATATGATATCCTTTTGTAAGTTTTCATCATTTTTTTCATGTTCTTAATTATAGGAAAAAATTTTTCAATTATACATATAAAATGGAATGGTGGAATTTTCATTTTATTTTATTTTTAAAAAAAAAGGAAAACACCAAATCTTTATGGTCAAATGTATCAATTATTGTAACAAATTTGTTTAATTTGATTCAATGTATGGAATCATGCCGCAATATACAATATTATGTCATTGCTAAACAAGGGAAATGAATTATTAAATGAATTCCCCGGCGAAAAAGTAAACCGCCGCTGCACTGATGCGCGTCTGCAGTCAGATACTCTCACGGGGTAGCGTAAGTGCCATTGCACTTTCGCGGTCTTGCTTCTTTCTTTTCTGACGTAAATCCTGCTCCCTTTTTTCCCTCGCCCGTGTTTCCTCCTTTCTCTTTTTCTCGCGGCTGAACGATGTGGACAAATTGGTTGGACGAACGTCACCAGACCTTCCCGGCATTTTTGTATCTGCCACCCTCTACGTTTCCCACACGATCTTCTCCCTCTTCGCACATTCGTACTCGGGGATGTGCAAAACCTCTTTCCAAGACTCTTTTTGGTGAATGCGCGCTTTCTCCGTTGAGTTCCGTCACACGGCGATGACGCAAATGCGCACTAACACGCAGACGCGTTTGACGTCGTCGTCATTCGAATAAACCGAACTACATCTGAGTGCATGTAAATATATATATATATACATCGAGAGAAAAAAATGGTTGCACCTATCATAATTTTAACTATAATTTATACTTATTTTTGATACAACTATATATTTGTAGTTATTTTAACAATGCAAATATAGTCAATTGTGCTATTAACAATAGTTATACACAAGTTGCTAAAAAATTTTTCTTAACATATTTTTTAGTTATTATTACAACATAAATAATAAGTAAATTTAGAAGAAAATAGTTATATTGATTGTAATTGCGATTGCATTTAGTAAATAAAAAATGTTCGTTTACCATTTGTATTTTATATTTTACTGCACTAATATTTGAAATTATCATAATTTATAGTACGATTCTTTTATATTTGAAAGAATTATACGTACATGGTTATTATTACTATAAACATTGTAATAGTAATAATTAATATAAAATTAATATAAAAATGGAACTCCTAATTAGTATTAATAATTATTTTATCAATGTAATAAACATTTGTGTGTGTGTGTGTGTGTGTGTGTGTGTGTGTGTGTGTGTGTGCGTGTGCGTGAGTGTGCCAGTATAATATCTAATGCATCAAATTACACGGATTAGTTTAAACAAAGAGAATCGCAAATAATGTTAAATGATGTAAATCACATTTAAATACATGATCTTTATACAAACGACACTTTGCAATTTAAAATACATATCTATTTGCGTGCCACTTAAAGAAAGATATGTACAACATCAAGATACTGAATAAAAAAAATAGATTATCTATTATCATGTTGTTACAAACAAAAATGAACAAAACAATAATGGACTTGCCTAATAGTCTATTTGGAAAAGTTGTAATAGAAATTTGTTTAATTTTTCAGAAACGATTCCGATTCGTAACCGGACATGGCACTTTCGCAATGAGGAAAGATCGATCACATGAAGCGTTTACTAAACTAGTCAAGCCTATCGATAACGAACACCTGTGTATTTGCGGTTAATAATGATCACAATAACCGAACAGTTTGAGATAAAAAGATTTAAATGTCTCGCAATGAATAATATATGGGAATATCTTTATTTATTTTTTAAATATAAGACAAGTGTTTATATATTTTAGCGAAACGAGATCATGGCTTACAAAGTCAAAAGTAACTTTGTCTAGGTCCTTTCTGGCGATTACAATCGATTGTATACAGGGAATTCTGAGATGTCATGACGTAATTCTCACGGCCTATGATAGGAGGAAGAAAAAAGATAATAGGAGAGGGGGGAGTAATCAAGTTATTTAATTTCTAAGAAATTATGGTGCCGGTTGTTTCGTAAGTTTCATCGTAAATAAAAATTTGAAAATGAATGTCATACAGCTTTTCATCATAATTCGCTTTCTCCTCAGGTATATTTTTTTTCAGAAATTTAAATTCTATTATATAAATTCTATATAAATTCTATACAAAAAATTTGATTGATGGAAATTTTTTTTTTAAATGTGATATATTCACATATGTATAACGAAAATCCTTTTTCACGACAAATACAAAAGAAGATAAACTGCGCGAAGGAGCTAAAAATAACAAAAATTTAATGAAACATGTGTCACATTCCTAGCAAAAATAAAAATTAAAGCGTAAGTCGAATACATAAAAGAGAGAGTAGTACACACAAGTCGTAAACGAAACTTCTAAGAGGCAAAAATTGAAAAAACGAAAAACGTAAAAAACGTTTTTACATTTCGTTATTTCAATTTTCCCCTCTCAGAAGCTTCGATCCTTTACGCCTAATTTTGTTACTCTGCCATTACAGTGGCTCTGATTTTTATTTTCACCAAGGATGCATATATAGCGATGAGCTAACTATAAATAAAGATAAATTCATTATCTTTTTCAGAGAAACGTGTAAAAAAACTGGTTACGAAACAATTTCCCGGTAAAAGTACGAATATAACACTCAACTTTATATAGTAATAATAACTTCCATCAATGACAGATTTAGCTGCGTTTTATGGCACGTCTTTCATTGACGTGCATCTCGAAGATTTAATAGGCGCAGGACGAAAGGCGTCCAAATCGATGATCTCTATCAGTACAGTGACCATACTTTCTTAAAGAAAATAAAGAACAAACACCTGAATATAGGATTTTAAATATTTCCAAACTAATTTGTGACTTCTCAGAAGTTTGTGCATTAATTAAAAAAATTTTCTTGCGCAGTATGTTTGAGATAATTCCCAAATAAAATACAAGTTATTATAATAGTTATTATAATACATTAAAATAGCTACAAATTAAATTGTTAAATATCACTTTTCAATCAATCACTACTTTGACGTCATTTTGATGTTACTGTGACTTTGTTATTCTATTGTTTGGACAAATATGTAGCTCTCATAAAAAGATAAAATTTATTGATAGTTTTTTTATAAAAGTTCGTTCGCTCTAGCAATTTTAATAGGTACATTAGACAATGCAATACTACACAATTAGAAAGGGAAATTTCCCGTAATATTATTAAAATAAAGGAACAAAATTGAGTTTTGAAAAAATAAATAAATCTAAAGGATAGCTACCTGAAATGAAGGATTGTTCTTTATAATAAAGGACGTATGGTCATTCTATCGATTGGGAACCTTCAAAGGACGTTTTTACGCAAACGGCAGATCGCGCAGATCCGGAAAACGCCTGTCCTGGAATTCGTTTCACAATACGAGCGACATGCAACGCGCGCCTCGCCATCGCCGAACCGTCCCGCGAACGGACAGACACACAAAGGGCTATTGTACCGATCTTTTTCTTTATATCTTTTTTTCTCCTTTTATCCCGTAAACCGTGTCGCGGATCTAATCGCCCACGCGAATGCCTGCGCGTTCTCGCGAATCGCTTAGCCGAGCCGCGCCGGGAGTTCGATTTCAAGGAGCGCGTTACGCACATGCGAGTTATTTACTGTCATATCAAGGTTGAGCGCGGGATGTCTGACAGTAAAAAACGTAGGCAGTAAGACGTAAGCAGTAAGCGAATCGGCCAATCACAGTAGAGAACTACTTCATACGTTCTCTATTGTGATTCGCTGATTCGTTTACTGCTTAAATCTTATTGCCTTACGTCTTTTTATGTGTTTCTAGTTTAACGTCCTAGACACTCCGGCTTTTAATTAGGTGCTCTTACGCATAGTATATATATATATAATATATATATATATAT